AACCTGTGCTTCCACCACTTGATATCACACCACTCCACTCTAGCCCCTTCCCTGAAGCCTGCCGGACCCAGGTGGCACCATATCTGGTTAAAGAGAATCTAGAGATTGTGTGGTGAGGGACAAGGTCTCTGAAGGCTTCACAGGCCAGATCCTGATTCCTGTAGCTGCCCCTTGGACAGGACACCTGAGGACAAGAAGCATCACCATCAGTGAAGCCCAAATGGCTCCCTGTGCCCAGTTGTTCCCCTGAACCTCAGAGACAATCACAGTAGGGTGCTGCCACCAGGCAGAGGAGCAGAGGTAAGAGCTCCATGCTCAGTGAAGAGTCCTGTGGGAGGAGACTGAGGCTGCTTAGCCTGAGATGGCATTTCTTCCTAAGCTTGGGGCTGTTTTTCTTGGGTATAAGGGTGGGAACCATGGCAGAGTGCTTTAGTGCTTCCCAGGGAGAGTAATTTTCACAGGAGGATCAGAGCTGACTCCTGACAATGAGACACTTTTTTACACCTGCGATGGTATTCACATTTTCACACAAGGTGAAATTTGAACACAGGGAAGGATTTGTTGATTGTGAACACAGTTTATGTGGGAATATTTAACATTAAAATATTTCTGTCCTGAACAGTTTCTGACTTGCTGACTGTATTTACTTATGTCAGCCTTTCCATGGGAAGGTTTGTAGCAGGGCAGAGAAGTGTGTATCTGTGGGCTGTTACTGGAATTGGAGAAAAATATTTCAAAAACTAACTAAATTTTCTTTTTTCTTAGTGTGACCCCGATGCACTTCTCCACAACTGTATTTTGGAAAGCTCCTGTTTCATTTTTGCATGTCAGCTTCATGGGCAATGTCTGGGCCTTGTTTCATAGATATCCATGTAATCCTGATTTGGGGATGTCTAAGGGAGCACATTCATCTCTTTCTCAGCCCATTCTTGGGTTTGTAAAATCAGGACTTTCTGGTGGTGTCTGAAAATGCTTGGATGCCTCATGGGACACAGACCTTCTTCCCTTCCTCCTGCATCCTCAAATCTGAAAACTGATATTTGCATATTGAATCAAGTTTCTAGACCTGAATCCTGTACGTCTTTTATCATAGAAAATCCTCGCATATTAAAATATATCTTATATTTAAGCTTTCTTTGTGTATTTTACTCCATAACAATTCCTATAACCATTTTCTGAAACACGTGTCTGAGACCAATTGGATAGTCCCACTATGTTCCATTTTATAGTTGACTGTCTGCCAATAGTCATCCAAATAAGCTTTTGTCAGTGTTGTTTTATTAATACAAACAGAATGCAGAGAAAATTGCAAGTTAGTATTTTAAGAATTGACAATGCACAATAATTGTTTTCAGTTGAGCTGCTCATCCATCATGTGTTGTTTGTAAAACTAGGATGGTAGTTCCAAATTCTGCATTTTAATTGAAGAAATTTTTTTTTTTCCTTTGGCTGAAGGGAGCCTCTTAATATGACACTTTGTTGTGACCAGAGTCATCAGTAAAAGTGGTGAGTGTGGAATTCTTTCAAGTTGAACAACCTTAGCAAAGTGAAATGAGCTATAGTTAAAATAAAACAGATGTGATGGTGCGCACCTGTAATCCCTGCACTTGGGAGGCTGTGGCAGGAGTATTCTTACAATTTCAAGGCCATCATGGGCTACAAAGTGAGCTCAAGTCCAGCCTGAATGTCATAGTGAGACCTTGTCTAAAAAGCCAAAAAATTTGCAAGAGGTTGTGAGAAGTCCAAGATCCATGAATTTCTCCAGTAAATCATCTAGTGCCCGTGGATATGGCATACACTGTAAAAGCAAACTTTTCAAGAAAAAAACAAGGAACAGTGGTCCTGATAATATGAAGATCATTACCTGACAAATGATTGCCTCTCTTCTGACCCATTTTGAATTTTCACTAGGTAAGCTGGTGTATTTCTTGGAGTGTCACAACTTTTATGTATTCTGAGGGCACCATCTAAGCTGCAGGAATTGGGCATCGAGATGGTGCGGAGTAAGCCTTCGATAGAAGTGTTCGAGGATGAGGCTGAGGACTCACAAGGTCTGCAAAAGTATTATCACCTCTTCACCCCTCTTCCTGACTCATATTGTTCAGGGCTTCAATAGCCCCCATGTCACTGAGCTGGCTGCAGAAAGCTTTTAACTTTTCCTTGTGTTCTCAGACTTGTCCCAACTTTACACCATATTTCTAATTCTAAGCTGCTGTGGATGGAAAAACATGGGTTGTGTTCAAGAACACGTTCTAAAAGCTTAACCCACAGCATGACCTCAAGAACAGGGCATGGTAAGGAGATACCCTAAAGGACCTTCTGAGATATTTATATATATATATATATATATATATATATATATATATATATATATATATCTGAAGGTGTGTATTTCAGGTCCCTTCCTGTTATGTGATTTTCAGACAGAGAGGAAACCCCATAGTGCAACAGGAAGCCATCAGCCCTCTGTTTCCTGCTCTGCACCTGCTCCGGAGGACCTGGCTTGTGGTCCCTGGATCCCCATCACCCCTGCTGGTGGTTTTTCATTCACCTTAATATAAGTGTTTGGTAAGGAAATGCCCTAAGGGAACTTTTGCATGCCAGGTTTTTTTTTTTTTTTTTCATTCTACACTGTGGGGTAACATTCCAGTTTCCGTTGGGTAGTCTGGATCAATCAGTACTTCCACACTATCACTCCCTTTTAGCTGATGAAGAGGGAGGAGACAGGAGGAGCCCAAAACAACCCTGGCAAATGCTATGCTTCGCTTCCAGACCTGTGAAAACCTCATTGCGCTGCATGGTGCAAGACTCCCCACTCCTTTAAAACTAAGACACCTAGGCCAGCAGTTCACACATTGGTGGGAATAAGAAGCAGAAAATTTGTTCTTAGATCACTAGGCGTAGCTGTAATTAGCACCTTTCCCAGTTCAACGACTCTATTCCTGAACCCATGAACTGTGGCCAAGGGAAACAAATTACCACAGAGTGCACCCTGGGTAAAGGCACATAGGGACTTGGGAAGAATCAAACCAGCCCTGCAAGGTATTTTCATGTAACAGGTACTATCATTGCATCTTCAAAAGACCACTCTGCGCTTCATTTCTTTGAGCAGCCACACTCTGCTCCTCAGTGCAAACTACAACCACCCTCTAATAAAGTGTTCTTCACCTCACTTTAAAATAAGCGCAACTTGAGGAGCCACTGTTCCTCTTCACACCAGGACCCTCTGCTCCTGACTGCGTCTTCATTTTTATTCTTTAATCACTTTTTACCTGATCCATACTTGCTCTCAGCCCAGTTATTTTTGCCAACACTTCTGGATTTTTCCCACCATTGATATATCTGAAAATTTTCCACCTTTAAAAAATCAGGAATTCTATAACATTTGGGATACTACTGTCCTCCCAGAGAATACCTTAGTTCCCTAACTGCTATCAGCAGATGCCTACAGAGCAAGTGTGGGATTAGATTTCATGGTTTCAGGACAAAGGTGGCAAAAACATAGCCTGGATCAGGCTGAGTGTGTGGATATGCATCCCTGGAAAATATATTAAGACATTAACATTGTGGCATGAGCCTATAAGACCAGCACTCAGCAGCCTGAAGAGAGAGTATTGCTGTGTGTTTAAGGCCAGCTTGGGACACCAAGTGAGTTCAAGACCAGCCTGAAACCCTGTCTCAAAGTGAGACAGAAGAGAGAGAGAGAGAGAGAGAGAGAGAGAGAGAGAGAGAGAGAGAGAGAGAGAGAGAGAGATTTGGGGGGGTGGGTGCCCTGCTGGAAGCTTTGTGTCTGGGTTCACACTGAGTTCTCCACACTGTGTCTCTTGCATGGCAACACAAGGCTGTGTCCACAGATCTGTGGCTGCTCATATGTAGATGCAATGAGCCCTTGGCACTGTCTCTGGAGAGATGAATCAGCCCTTCACAGGGTCAGCATAGTTTGTGTCCCAATCACAGTGAATGCTGCAAGCCCATTCCCTGGAGCTTGTAGACCCAGTTCATTCAGAAGTCACAGGAGGTGAGTCCAGAGGCTGCATGGGAGAGTCTCATGGATGCTCCTGGCTTCATCAAGCCTGTTCTCCTTTATTGCACCAGTTGCACCTCACATTGGACACCTGAAAACACAGAAATATTTTGATTTTTATGATATTTGTTTCATTGAATAAATCTGCAGCTTTGAAATACTTGAGGTGATAAAAATGATACAAACATATGATTCAGTGTCATCTCAACTTTGTTATACACAGACATTTTAGATGTTTGTAAATGACCTTTTGTGGGAAAGAAAGTAAATATTAGTGTGTGACATTTAACAGTTACATTGGTTTAGAACACACTTTGAAAAATCTGCTTGAAAAAAGTGATGATCAACTGAAAAAACTGATAATTATTGAAATCTCTGAATGCTGTGGTACTTAGTACCATGATTTTTATTGAATTAAATTCTTATTAACGAGTGTAGATTTAAGAACTTTTTATGACAGTATTATGTAATGTTTCACTGCAAGTAGGCAGAAATGTGACTTGTATGTAATCATACATCGAATGGATATTTTTGTTTTTTGTCCAGCATATTATTTGTGAAAGCCATGTTAGATGATATATTTATAGACATTCTTGCAATTTCATATTATAAATTAGTATGTTATTTTATGTTATATTATAAAACATTCAAAAAGATTTTCTCCATTTTGAACAAAGGCTGTAAAATGCAAAATACACAGTTTCAATAACGGATAATAGCAAACTGCAATGTGTTTCTTTATTGTACCGAATTTCTTGCATTTTGTGGGCTTTAGGTAGACAATGAATCAATTATTCTGAGTTTTAGTTGGCATTTTATGTACTATGGATTTTAAAATTTGTTTCTTTTCCATTTCTATTATCCCATAGCATCAATTTGAAACCTCATAACGTTAACCTAAGATAATAAAATGGTAAAATACATGCCCCCTTGTGGTATATTCTGTGCTATGAGACTTGAGCGCCCCCTGTAGGTGCTATGTATTCCAACACGGAGGTTTATGACTGACTCCCACAGAGGTTTCCCTCAATGTGTATCTTGCACAGTAATACATGGCCGTGTCGTCGAGTCTTAGGCTACTCATTTGCAGATACAGCGTGTTTTTGCCATTGTCCCTGGAGATGGTGAATCGACCCTTCACAGAGTCTGCGTAGTATGTATTTTTACTATTGCTACTGATAGCTGAAATCCATTCCAGCACCTTCCTTGGAGCCTGGTTGATCCAGTCCATGCCATAGCTACTGAAGGTGAATCCCGAAGCCACGCAAGAGAGTCGCAGAGATCCCCCAGGCTGTACCAAGCCTCCTTCGGACTCCACCAGCCGTACCTTACACAGGACACCTGCAAACACAGGGACATCTTGCTCAGGAAGCAGTCACACATGTCCACTGTGTAACCCACACAGTTACACTGATGCCCTCAAAATCTTTTTTTTTTTTTTGTAAATAATTTACCTTTGAAAACTGCAAACAGGAAAACCCATTTCAGGACCAACTCCATGGTGAGCCATCTGTGCTCAGTCCTGATCACCTAGTGGGAGCAGTAGGCATCCAGGGCTGGGCTGCCCTGCACGCAGCAGAGTCAGGGCAGGGCTGGTTTTCATCAGCAGAAGAAGGCCCTATTTGCATGGTCTCCTGTATATATAGCCAGTTCTATGGTGAAAGCCTCATAGAGGGAAGGGTCCAAAGCATGAGAGTGTGCTTTGGAGTTGTTTTGGAAGAGCCTTAATATTGTAAGAACACATGGTTTGTTCCCATGTATAAACTCATTTGTTTTTCGTGTTCTTATCAATATGTAATTCACTGATCTGCTATGTTTAAAGGTTTATAAATGTGTACATAGATTGAGAAGCCTAATGTCTATGAGATGTGACATCACAGGATATAAATTCATCCTGCACATTATTTCTATAGAACTCAACAGCTTGCTGAGAAATTCCAAGACAGAGTGGTAATGCTTCATGATGATTGTGGGGATGGCTTTTTCTAATGAGGGACTATGACAGTCTTGTTCTCTATTCTATAATATTAATACATGAGTACATGAACAGCGTCCTTTTCAATATAATGTTCAAGGGTCTGACAATATTTATCACTGTGGAGAGAGGAGAGAGCTCTTTAGAGCTTTCTGCTCTAAATTATGCCACATATATAAATATGTATATATTAAATGTATACATTAATGATTGATAACCAAGATATATTTTTGACAAAAGTATAAAACTAGTTGAATATGGGAAAAATCATGCCAATTCTCAAGATATGTAATTTATGAGCTCATAAATTCTCTATCATTTTCCATAAAATACCTTCCTGTAACTTCCTCTGTCCTATTCTTTCCTAAACTAAAATATTTATTATGGTGACAGTTTCTTCTCATGGGAGCACAATAGCAAACTACTTTTGCATGATGATCATGAGAGCTGTGTATTCCAAAGCATCTATGTTTCTAAGATTCACAGTCTTTTCTCCAGAATACGCAAGTTGCTTAAGCTCTTCCACAGGAGATCACATAAAGGGGATGATAAAATATAGGCATAAATATAATCTGACAACACCTAATCACTTCCATTCTCTGCAGTATGGAAACCTCACCAGTGAACTGGAGAGGGTGCACTGCATGCTCTCTACTGTGTGTGTGAAGCTAAGACAGAGGGGAAACTCAGTCACTAAACGTTGTGAAGCTCTCAGTCTGTAGCCCCCTTCTCTGCACCATCTCTTGGGCCTGCTCCTTGTACTCTGAAGATTTCCAGGTCCCTATGCTGGTCCAGAGCTTTCCTAGCTGGTCCAGAGCACCCAGTTCTTTAGTGGCTGTAGTGCCTTCTGCTTGGTTATGGGCACTCACTGCTGATCCTTAGCACCTCATGCTAGTCTCCACCACCCTGTGTATTGTGCCTGGGCTCAGGGTTAGATCCCTTCAGATAATCAATCGCACAGTAATAATTCATTGTGTTATCCATGTATATGGAGGACAGTTACTCAGATGACTGGTTCTTGGCTGGGTCTTTAGAGATACTGACTTGCCAGGGATGAATTACAAGTTCTCCTTCCATTATTACCATCTTGCTGCATTCTTGCCTGGGGGCTGAGGGAACTGGCTCCAGAGGCAAGGTTCCAGATCTATGCTAACCTGAGAATGTGAGGCTCAGAGACAGAGAGCAAAAGTGCTTCATTGTCACAGGTCTTGTCTCTTGCAACAGCAGCTGAGAAGTGATTTTGGGAGATCAGGGTGAGTCATGAGATTAGAGGCAGATTCTCCACATCATCCTGTTTAAATTTTCTAGAGTACACAACTGGGAATCAGCAAGAGAAAAAGAAGGAATTCGTTCCAAGTTCTTGAAGACTAATATTTACAAATCTCTGAGAACATCTTAAATATTGGGATACAAAAATATTAAGCCAATGTGCCATATGAGATTAACTAGCAGTTCCTAAAATATTTGCCTATGTTATGCACTTTGTATATGAAGGACAGAAGGAGATAGAGGATGTACAAGATTTGGGTTTGACTCTGGGTGCCAAGCAATGATTGAGCCCTCAAAAGAACTCAGTGATGTCCCTGGAGTCCACTGCTCAAGGCCCAAAACTCTTACTCCAGGACATGTAGTAGAGAGTTGGACAGAAAACTGGCTGTGTTTCCAGATGAAGGATGACTGTAGCAATATGAAAACCGGCACACAGGTCCCAGGGATACAGGACTGTGAGGTACACACACCACATTTGCATAGATGCGTGTGAATAGCACACAACCATTTGCATTCTAAGTTCATATTACACATTCATTTCAGGGTCCTTGCTCAAATCAATTTGCATTCTCCATTTGTTCATTATATAACTGGCATAATACCAAATATTGAGGCCAGTACGAAGGTGTTGAAATGGACAAAAATTGTCTCAGAAACAAATGTTATGTTTTGTATTTTTTAGACACTCAATTGATTGTATTTTTATTTGTGTATGAGAAATACACTCAGAGATATGGATGTTGATGGATTTATGTGATAATAGACTTTTTTTCATCTCAAAGTTTCTTACACTTTTTTCTGCCTTCCAGTAGTTTACACATGTGTAGTGTAATATGTAGTCTCATTGCAATACAACTTAGTTTATTTCTGATGCATTTTTTTTTTCTGTGGCAAGGTGTATTGCCCTGAGGATAACTGGAGCTGTGAACTCCCTGCATGGTGGAGAACAATGCTGCATATGAAACTCTGAGTAGAGCACAGAGCCTGCAGGAGAAAGGCTTTCAGTTATGACCAGGATGGTACTAGTTTTCAGAGGACTGTCACTCAACCAGAGAGGTGCAGCTCTTACTTACTACTGAAAGGCTTTCCAGTAAGATACAGCAAGGACCCTCATGATTCCTTGCTACTGAGTTCCATAGCAAATGCTTTACACATTACCTAAGATCACATGAATTTTGGAATGTAGTAGTACCGTAAATTAGATCTCCTTGAAGAATTCTTCTGTGATCTGACATCTGTATCAATCTTGGGGCTGAGGATTCTTGAGGGAGTTATGATGGAGAGCAGAGCCCAACTCCTCACCAGGAGACCCTGAGCATGGGGACTGTGCATTCTGACCCCCAATGTGAAGAGGTGCAAAGTCTGGATGCAAGAGTCACTCTGTACATGACCTCTTCAGGAGGGAGCCACAAGTGTCCAATATCATTACCACTGCAATGAGCACTGTTTGTCTATTCTACAGAAGTAGAGAACCTCAATCTGTTACCATACCAGATGAATATTTGGTTGTTTTAATGAGTCACATTATTGACTGGGACAGTTCCCTGAACCTCAGCATGGTACCCTCTCAATCCACTGAGAGATGTGAATCCATGTTCTTGAAACTATTTATACATATTATTTCATGAATGGAGACATGAATCCAGCATATTTCAGCCTGTTGTCCTTTCTTATGTTTTTATTTGGGATTTTTAGTTTTTACTGTTACATTTTGAGAGAATATTGATTGCATTTAATATGGGTAGTTAGCACAAGTGTATAACACAACTTGGTTTTATAACTCCTTTCCTGCCCTCCACAAATCTAATAATACAGAGGTGGCCTGAATGCAGGTAACAGTGGAGGCAGTGGGAGTAAGGACAAATAGATCAGCAGGCTGCCCATGGGACTCTGGGTAGGATCTGGAAAAGGGGTGGGGCTGTTCTGAGTCCAACAAGGAGATCACTGAACCTGAAACCCAGAAGTAGGTGAGTCTTACTTTCTGGGTGGACACAGGTTTTGATCTTTGCTACTGGACACCTCAATATCCTCACTGTGAGGTCAAATTTATTCCTGCATCCAGAATTTGATGTCTGCTCTGAATTGCATGGCATGGATGGAGGCATAGGAAAAATGATATATATTCTCACAGCAATGTAAGAAATCTATCATAGTAATGCATACACTTATGAGGCATTGAGGTGGTCCTAGACTGCCCTAAAACCTGGCAAGTTTAGGCACATTTTGGCCACTATGCTTAGGAAAGTGCCACCTGAGGGTTTTATTACTATGAGCAATTGCATGTGTTCTGAGTCATGTTGTAGTTCTGGTGGTGGAAGAACTGAAACATTAACGAACATTGACCCCTGAAGAGCAAGAGTCAAATCTGAGTGAAACACCTGGTGTATATGAGAGATGAGCTTGGTGATAAGCAAGGGCTGTGATGGTGATGGGTTTCATTCTTTGGAAGTGGGGGTGGTTCCACTAATGCATCTTCATCTGCATTAGGCATTGAGAATATGAACTAAGGGTGGAAGGTGAATTTTGTTGAATATATTTGAAAAGAAATGGGCTCTTTGTTACAGTTACGTCAAGAATATGGTGTGGCAGTGACACAGAGGAGCATCAGTACTGCTGGTTAACATCCAGGTCAGGGGTGTGCAGAGATGGGACACACAGGAGCACTGTGAGCCTCAAGTTTCCATTCCTCAGATTCCAGTGGGACATAGTGTAGAAGATGAACCCAGACATGTGGCATCACACTGGAGATTCTTTGTTGATGATGTAGGAAAAGTTTAGGAAATACTCAATGTAGGTTATGAAAAATTGGTAACTAAAATGTGTTAATTTCTAACCTAGAGGATAATAACACATGAGTCATAAGCGATATGACTGCGTTTGTGTGGGAGTTTCTATGGAGTACTGAGTACATGCTGAAAAACAATGTCATGGGTTTTCTCTGAGGTTGTCCTAGATAACTTTTTTCGTTCTTGTTCCATCATTGCTTTGAACTCAGCTAGCTTTGGTTTACTTTTTCGTTCTGTTTCACACACAGTTATTTATTGATTGATTGACTGTTTTAAGATAATGCTGTGATATTTTCATTTTTATGCTGTTTATTTGGTTGAATAGATTTATGACACTCAAACACGAAGTGATCATTAAAAATGACACCAGTATTTGCTTCATTGTCAACTCAATGTTGTTATACTGGGCACTTTTAGATGTTTATCAATGATCTTTTATAGGAAAGAAACTAAATCTTTGAAATACTGAT